AGGTGAAGGACGGGGTGGAGGACCGGGAGGAGGATGGAGTGGAGGATCAGGTAGAGGATGGGGTGGAGGACAGGGTGGAGGATTGGGTGGAGGATGGGGTGGAGGATCAGGTAGGGGATGGGGTGGAGGACAGGGTGGAGGACCGGGAGGAGGATGGAGTGGAGGATCAGGTAGAGGATGGGGTGGAGGATCAGGTGGAGGACCAGGTGAAGGACGGGGTGGAGGACCGGGGGGAGGATGGAGTGGAGGATCAGGTAGAGGATGGGGTGGAGTACAGGGTGGAGGACCGGGAGGAGGATGGAGTGGAGGATCAGGTAGAGGATGGGGTGGAGTACAGGGTGGAGGATCAGGTGGAGGATGGAGTGGAGGACAAGGTGGAGGATGGTGTGGAGTACAGGGTGGAGGACCAGGTGGAGGATGGCGTGGAGGACCAGGTGGAGGATGGCGTGGAGGACCAGGTGGAGGATGGCAGGTGGAGGATGGAGTGGAGGACCAGGTGGAGGATGGCGTGGAGTACAGGGTGGAGGATCAGGTGGAGGATGGAGTGGAGGACCAGGTGGAGGATGGCGTGGAGTACAGGGTGGAGGATGGCATGGAGGACCAGGTGGAGGACGAGGTGGAGGATCAGGAGGAGGATGGCGTGGAAGACGGGGTGGAGGAGCAGGTGGAGAACGACGGCCTCCTTTGCCTTGGCGCCTGTGGGCTGCGGGAAGGGGTGGAGGGGCAAAGAGGGGGCCAGCGAGGTCCTGACCCCCAACTGGGGGGTCGCCAGGGGACCTCCCAAGACTTGCAGAGGGAGCGGTTACAACAGAGGCAGCGAAGCCCCGTCACTTTCCCAGCAAAGCGCCTCCTAGCATCATCGCCACCCCTTCCGAAGCGCTTTCCGAAGCCGCGTCCCCGCCCGCCCCAGACCAGCGCCCGTCCGCGGTTTCGTCCCTGCTCCCCAGCGCCGCGAGGCCGTCGGAGCCGCCGGGCGGCAGCGCCATCTGCTGGCCAGTGTTTAAACTGCGCGATTAGGGCCTCTGGGTCTGAACTGGAAGAAGCGCCCCCTGCAAAGGGAAAAAGGATAAACTGCGGAAAAGCGTTTATAACGCTAACAGCCAGAGTTACAAAAGGTTCAAGGAAGTGGGCATCTCTCACACTTATGGGCACCTCCACGCTTGGTGGAGGAGTGAGTTAGTACAGCCTTTCTGGAGAGAGATAAATTAATATCAAAATCATAAAGTGTTTGTGATTCATAAATATGTACACTTTTTGTCAATAAAAAAACAAAATAAAAATTTAAAGAGTAAAAACAGTGTTTTGATTCAGAAATGCCACTGTTAGAAATTTCTATAAGAGTGCACAAATACAAAAAGACATTTGGATCAAAGTGTTTGCTCTCGTGTTGCCCCAAAATAAGGAAAATTTGCAACATTATGGAATGGTTAAAGGAACTATGGCATATGCATTAGGATATGATGAAACCACTAAAAATAACGTGGAAGAATATTATTATATCATAGGGAAATGCTCATATGCGTAGTTGCAATTTAAAAAGCAGATTGCAAAACTATGTATTATGTACGACATAGTATGTGTTCAGGGTCGCCTCGTGGGCGAGCCAGTCCAGTCTGGGGGGGTGGGGGCGGGGCTTCCCCCCCTGGCTCCTCAGGAAGCGGCGCGGGGGTGTTTCCCGCACGTCCTGCAGACGAGGCCTCACAAGAAGGCTGGCTGCGGGAGCCTGCTGGGGTTGCTGGAGCTGCTGTGCCGTCTTGTCACCACGAGGACAGTGAAGGAAAAGCGGAACCGAGAGACTGAGACAGTGAAAGCGAGAGAGACGAGAGGATAGAGTGTGAGTTCCTGGAGCCAATTTGGCTTGAAACTAGTCTACTCCTGGACTTTTCAGGTAATAAATTCCTTCCTTGTCAGGTTAACTGGGGTTTTTGTCACTTGTAACCCAAAAGGTCTGTTTGCCCCAGATGCAAGGGCGTTCACTTTGCAAAGAGCAGTCGCGGAGAAGGCGCGGGGTGGACAGGCCTCGCAAGGCTCCTCTGTGTCAGGGCCTGGGACTCACTCTCTCAGCCGGCACAGCCAGGCGACACACCAGGACAGGTGCGTCCTGGGCCTGCCCCTTTCTGGGTGCAGACCCGAACTGAGGACCCCGAGGGACACTGGAGGTTCCTGCCGCAGGGCTGAAGTTCTCTCCTCCCCGTGCTGCTTTGCATTCTCTGTGGCGCCTCGAACAGCTCCTCCTCTGAGAAGCCTCTCCGACCACCTGGAGGAGGGACGTCATTCTGTCCAGCTCCTGTCTGCTCTGTCAGCGTCCTTCTGCTGTGCCGCCTCCGTGAGGCCAGGGCGCAGGTCTGTCCTGGTGCTGCCGTCTCTCCAGCTCTTTAGAAGGCCCGGGGCAAGTAGGCGTGCCATTGGTCATGGTCCTGAGACAGTGTGCAGACAGACAGACAGCTCGTGAGGGGCCAGTCTGAGAGCTGGCTGGGACGGGGCTCAGCCTCCTTGGGGGAGGGCATTTTCTTGCTCTTACACCAGGGCACAGTTGGATGGATGGTGACACCCCCCTGAGGACACGCCGCAGGTTCAGGCTTTGACCAGCTCAGAGCCTCCCTCCACTTGGGGTCCTACCTGATACCAGGTGTGAAGCCAGGAGCTGGAGCCGGGGGTTGAAAGTCAAGGATGGTCGATCAAAGCCGAGGTCGGCCCGTGACTCAGGGGCGGGGGAGCAGGCAGGGCTGAGTCCAGGGCTGGGGCACGGCAGCGGGGAGCAGAGTCTCCGGTGCGCTCGGGCGAGGCCCTAGACGTCTGGGTGGTGCACGGACAGCACTGGTGGTCAGGACCATGTGCTCAGACACGTATTTCCTTCCATAGCTCAGTATTTTCCAGTACTTCTCAGTAATCTAAGAGAAGTCTCAGCATGGTGATAGCAGGTCTCCAACACTTGTTTCTTTCTGTCTCTCCCTTTTAACAAAGTCCAGCGGCCGGCCCAGACTCAGGGCCTGTCTCGGGCAAAGGCCTGTTAGGTTGTAGTAACAGTGATAGATTTTGCTGTTTTTATTTTTATAGCTACCTTTTAATTATAGTGATTCTGATTTTCAACTTAGGCTAGTAATAGGAAGTTCCTTTTTCAAATAACTTTGCGTAAGTGAAAGGAGATTGCTAAAAGGAAAATGGCAAGCAGATGATAGAACAGGTGTGGCATTGCTGGGCCCCAAGGGGGGGGCGAGTGACTCTGCAGGAAGTTCTGGAAAAGCAGCTTTCTGCAGTGGCTGCAGGTGGGGGAAGCATTTGGAGGAGTGGCTCCGTGCAGCCTGACTTTCGAGCCCCCTGGAAGCCCACCTGCCGCTGCCAGCAGGTGGAATGGAACTGGCTTTGCGGCTCCAAAGCAGGTCTGCAGGTAGGCGATGCCCACTAGGGAGCAGAGCTAAGGGCGTGCTAGCCCTGGGACCACAGGCTGCCTTGACCTGTGTCTCCTGGCCTAGGGTCAGGAAGCCAGACTAGTGGCCCCTGCCCTGGCCTCAACACCAGCCCTGCACCCCCATGTCCAGCTGGGAGACTTCCAGGGCTTCCTGGAATTTGAGCCCAGGATTATTCTGTTTCTGCTGCCTGCCGGAGTCTATCACTTTGATGTGGACACCCAGGTCTGGCCCTGGTGCTATCCCTGTCTCACCATGTGACCTTGAGTCACCCCTCCGGGCCTGGGATTCCTCATATGTAAGCAGAGATGAGTGAAATGACCTTTAAGGACCCTTACAGTGAGAGGACCAGGGACATGTCCCCTCCCCTCTCCTCCACTCCCCCCAGTGTGGGACTCAGTGAGGAAAGCAATGCATGGGACCAACGGGCCTGGGTTTAATTTCTTGCTCTACCAGCTGTTAGCTGTGTGACCTTGTGCAAGTCACTTAACCACTAAGAGTGTCTTGTTATCGTCTGTAAAACAGGTAAAGAGCAGGTCCTGAGCAGTGCTGAGGGACACCTGACAACACAGCAGGGCTCCTAAAGCCCTGGGGACTCTGATTTTTACCGCACAGGTAGCTGCATGCACAGGTGGCTGCATGCACAGGAGGCTGCGTGCACAGGTGGCTGTGTGCACAGGTGGCTGCGTGCACAGGTGGCTGCGTGCACAGGAGGCTGCGTGCACAGGTGGCTGCGTGCACAGGGGGCTGCGTGCACAGGGGGCTGCGTGCACAGGGGACTGCGTGCACAGGGGGCTGCGTGCACAGGGGGCTGCGTGCACAGGGGACTGCGTGCACAGGTGGCTGCGTGCACAGGGGGCTGCGTGCACAGGGGACTGCGTGCACAGGTAGCTGCGTGCACAGGTGGCTGCGTGCACAGGTGGCTGCGTGCACAGGGGACTGTGTGCACAGGGGGCTGCGTGCACAGGGGACTGGGTGCACAGGTGCTGTGTGCACAGGTAGCTGCATGCACAGGGTACTGCATGCACAGGGGGCTGTGTGCACAGGGGGCTGCGTGCACAGGGGGCTGTGTGCACAGGGGGCTGCATGCACAGGGGGCTGTGTGCACAGGTAGCTGCATGCACAGGGGACTGCGTGCACAGGGGGCTGCGTGCACAGGTGCTGCATGCACAGGTGGCTGAATGCACAAGGGACTGCATGCACAGGTGGCTGCGTGCACAGGGGGCTGCATGCACAGGGGACTGCGTGCACAGGGTCCGAGTGCACAGGGGACTGCATGCACAGGGGGCTGCGTGCACAGGGGATTGTGTGCACAGGTGGCTGCGTACATAGGGGGCTGCATGCACAGGAGAGTGCATGCACAGGTGCTGCGCGCACAGGTAGCTGCATGCACAGGGGACTGTGTGCACAGGGGGCTGTGTGCACAGGGGACTGGGTGCACAGGGGGCTGCGTGCACAGGTGCTATATGAACAGGTGGCTGAATGCACAGGGGACTGGGTGCACAGGTGCTGTGTGCACAGGTAGCTGCATGCACAGGGTACTGCATGGACTGGGGACTGTGTGCACAGGGGGCTGCATGCACAGGGGGCTGCGTGCACAGGGGACTAGGTGCACAGGTGCTGTGTGCACAGGTAGTTGCATGCACAGGGTACTGCATGCACTGGGGACTGTGTGCACAGGGGGCTGCATGCACAAGTGGCTGCGTGCACAGGCATTGTGTGCACAGGGGGCTGTGTGCACAAGTAGCTACGTGCACAGCGTTGTTTTGATCATGGGCCTGGCAGGCAAGAGAACAGCTGGTGTCCCAGGGTATAGGGCCTCACAAGGATGGCCAACCCCTGTCCAAAGGGGAGACCACAGCACTCTTTGTCACAGCTGACGGGAGGCAGCAGGGCTTCATTTGAAGGCCCCCCTTGGGCTCCAGAACTTGGTGCCCAGAGCAGGTTTGCAGGTGTGATGTGAGGCTGGCACGGTGCGGGGCTCCCGGGCCTGAAGGGGCACCTGTAGGGAAGAGGCCTGGGTGGAGGACACAGGAGTGGGAGCAGCCCGGACTGCAGGCCACCAGGCTTCGTGGGGAGTTTTCTTCAGGGCACCCTGCGTCAGTTCAACTCAGGCTTCTCAGACTGTAAGGCACACAGGCAGGGAGGGATCTCCTGGTTGGGGCTGGGGGTGCCAATCTTGTTAACGTGCAGATTCTGATTCAGCAGGTCTCGGACAGGGCCTGAAATTCCACATGTCTAACAGGGCACCCTCCCACCCCGAGTATGGAGGGCGGGGACTCCTCACTCTCCTGTGGACCAGCTTTGAGAGGTCAGGGGAAGAGGGTCTGGTTCCAGCTGCTGCCACTCTACAGTCCCCTGGAAGGAAGGACTAGTACAGGTGGAGTGGGTGGGAGAAGGCCCAGGCAAACAGGAAAGTGGGGTACCCTGGTGGGGCCGCAGTGAGCCCTCAGGAAGGCTTCCTGGAGAAAAAGCTCAAGTAATTCAAGGACTTGTTCCAGGAGCCCAGGGAACGAGTGGGTCTCTGACTTCAGCAAACGGGAAAGGCCAGGAGGGCTCGGCTGTGGGGAGCCAGCCAGGCCATCAGTGCACACGGCCAGAAGAGACTCCAGTGGCCCCACAGGCCAAGGCTGTCGGCAGCACTGGGGAGGGCAGCACCGCGTGTCGTCAGGAAGGGGCCGGGTGGGAGTCTGGAAGCTTCCTCTGTGGCCAGTCCCCTTCAGGAAGCCAGAGCAAGTCCATTACCTGTGCACTATGTGGGGAGCCACCTGTCTTCAGGGGTACAGATGGTGAATCCCCCACACGATTTTGTAGGTCCCTTCTACCCCAAAAAGGTATCTTCTCTCTGTGTGCATACCACACACACACGTGCACGCACATTTCGAGACGCACATTTTTTCATATGCTAGCCCCCCTGAACTCAATGGCACCCTACACTCCTTACTGGCCTGGGTCCATGCTGACTTCCTTCAGAGAGAATTTACGTTTGGAGTGCTAGGCACCTGGAACAGCTCTACCTGAGACCACCAAACATGACTTGCCGCTGCGGAATCTCGGGCCACTGCAGGTGTGCCCAAACATGGTGAGCACCAGCTTGCAGTCCGAATTCTCAACAGATTCCTACCCTCCGTCCAGTGCCAAGTTTGAGTCATGCACATTTTCTCAATGTCCCCTCCTGCATGACAGTTTTATTTGGCGCTAACCTTTACATTGGATGTCTTAGTCTTTGGTTTCTCTTTTTTCCTGGGATTTCCCATTAAACTCGTGTTGAGCATGTATTCTTTGTTAGTAAATATTTGGTGCATCTTACAGTTGATGGCATTTTAGATTTGATCAGATAACTTGTAAAATCAGTATGATCAGTTTCGCCATTACAAATAGGGTCACAGCTCTTTAATTTTTTCATTAGACATTTTAATTTTCCATACACCCAGCTTTTCAGTAAATTCAGTGTCTCCACTTAAAGCATCTTTCCCTTGGAGTAAGCTGAGAGACTTGAGGGGTGTCTTTGTCCCAAGACAGACTGTTTGTAGCCACTAGGACAGAGCCTGATGGGGCCACTACCATTGTGACCACAAAGTGTCACTGTCGGACACATTCCGGTGCAGTCTGGCACCTGCACGGTCAGGGCTGTGGTGACCCTTGCGGGGCTGGATTCCGCCCTTAGAGGGCGCCCCACATCGCGGTTCCCAAGTCATAGTCTGCTTAGTTCACTCTAATAAGCTCACCCTGATGCTTGAGTCTTTGGGGGCTTAGAGCTTCACACAGATGGGCCCACACTAGCCCGTACTGTCACCTCCAAGCCCTGTGTCCCACCTCAGTCACTGAGACTGTGCTCAATCCCAGCCCCCTTCACTCTGGGCCCTTTCCTGACAGCAGCGCCCGGGCGAGGGCATCCCGGTCCATCGGACAGGTTCTGAGAACTCTGACCCTGAAAAGAGGCGGAGCTGAGGATTCAGTCTCTTTTCTACCCACCGGACCCTTGAGTGCCCTGCTTTGCCCCCTGCAGGGCTGTGTCTGCGGACCCGGGAAGCCACCTTCTGTGGTAACCACCCCCAGGCAGCGCGTGGTGTCATCCCAGCCAGAGAAAGAGTCGGAAACTCCCTCGCTAAAGACACCTGCCTCATAAAACCTTACGGCACCGTCGCTGCCCAGCCCAGGGCCTCCTACCCGGCCAAGGACGACGCAGCTCCTGCTGCGAGTGCCTGAGGAGAGGCTGTTCCTGCGGGCAGTGGGCCAGCCTGTGCTTCGCTGCGCTGCGTCTACTTGCTAAAGAGGAAGAGCTCGAGTATTAGGATGATACTAGGATCATGCGCAGAAATATTTGTGAGCAACGTTGAGACGAGAGGAACAGAGAGAAAAGACCAGGACAGCAGGGGAGAGCTTTCTGCAAGGAGCGGGTCGTGCTTTGTGTGCAACGTGCAGTGCAAACCTCTCCTCCGGCTTCTACGGAAACGCTGGCGAGGGCGCTGTTCCTGCCCAGTGTTGTGGCAGCTGGGTCTGTGGTTTTGTGATGGAGTGGCCCTGGTGTTAAGGGGGACAAGGACACAGTGGAGGCTTCCAAAGAGTCCCAGGAGCACCTCTGTTCAACACAGACGGGGAAACAGCCGGCCAGACGAGGGGCTCGTCCAAAGTCACCCAGCAACGTAGAGTCCCCAGTGGCTCTTCCCATTAAAAGTGACCCCCAACAGCCTGCTGATTGCCCCCAGGTCTGCAGCTGCCCCGCGAGAGGGCCGGGCTGGCTCATCACAGATACTCTCGCACGGCAAGTTCCTTCAGGGTGACGCCGCAGTGGCTGGGCCTCCGGAGCTGGGTGTCCTCCAGCCTCTCCTGCAGAGACACGAAGTCCCTGCCCAGCACGTAGGCCAGGCTGACCATGGCGTCCAGCAGGGGCGCGTAGTAGCGATGGCCCTCCCGGGCCTGCAGGCGCTGCAGGGCCCTCTCGCCGGCCGAGAAGGCCTCGGCCGGGCGCTCCAGGTCGCGGTGGCACACCAGCATGGCGCAGAGGGCCGGGACCACCGCCGCGGGGCAGTGGGCCGTCAGCTTCTCCTGCAGGGGCACCACGCGCACCAGGACGTCCAGGGCCCTGGCGTACTGGCCGGCCCGCAGGCAGCCGAAGGCCTCGCTCAGCTCGGGCCGCGTGAGGAAGTCCACGAACTGGCTGGAGCGGCGCACGCAGCGGATGGCGTAGAGCAGGCCCAGGTACTCCTCGAGGGCCAGCCTGCGCTCGCAGATCGCCTCCTCCGTGAAGTTCCCCACCAGGCGCTTCCTGGGGAAGACCACGTCCTCGATCTCCTCGCGGAAAGTCTTGAGCAGGGCCTTCTGGAGCCTCTCGAAGTCCGAATAGCGCCGTTCCAGGACAGCCTTGCTGCTGTCGAAGCTGCCGGTCTGGACGACGACGATCTGGTACATCTGGGCGCAAGGAGGGAGCCTTTGGCACAGGGATCGGCCTGCGGACGGCCTGGGGATGCCTTGGCCCTACACTGTCAGCAGTGGGGTCCTCACTTTTCTGTGCCGGGGTGCTAGGATGGCTACTGTGCTTTCCCAGGTGGAACACTTGGGGGGTGGCTTTAGCTGCTCTGCAACATCATCTGGGTGTACTGGCAGTGACGTTATACAGTACGAGAATTATTCCTTTGCAATCCTCTCCAAGAGAATACTGATTAAGGACACAGACTTGGGAGCCAGACTGCCTGGGTTATCACTCCAGCCCCACCATGGCCTAGCTGTGTGGTCTTAGTTAGGTAATTTAGCATCTCTGAGCCTCAGTTTTCTCATCCATAAAGCGAGGATATGTGTAGCACCTACCTGACCGGTGAGGATTAAATGAGTGAGTGCACTGAAGCCAGTGGAACTGTGCCCGCGGGCAGCTGGCACTCAGTGGGAGCCATTGTCACCACCCCGGTCCCAGTGAAGTGAAGGAGCAGCGTTGGGTGGCTCCTGGTCACAGGCTGAAACCCCACCCTGGCAAGACAGCAGTGCCCGTGCACAGGGCTCTCCCCGCTAGCGTCTATAACAGCACAGAGCTTTCCTTGTACTGACTTTTCCTCTGCCCTGCCTGACGCGGCACCCATATTGACTTTTATAATGACCTTTCTTTATGCCATGTGGTGTGTGATGTTGGTTTTCCATTTAGGGTATTATCTCTTTGAAATAAATGTATTTAGTATTTTTAAAAATTGATCAATTTGGCTGGGCGTGGTGGCTCACGCCTGTCATCCTAGCACTCTGGGAGGCCGAGGCGGGAGGATTGCTCGAGGTCAGGAGTTCGAAACCAGCCTGAGCAAGAGCGAGATGCGTCTCTACCATAAATAGAAAGAAATTAATTGGCCAACTAATATATATAGAAAAAATTAGCCGGGCATAGTGGCACATGCCTGTAGTCCCAGCTACTCGGGAGGCTGAGGCAGGAGGATTGCTTGAGCCCAGGAGTTGGAGGTTGCTGACGCCATGGCACTCACTCTAGCCTGGGCAACAGAATGAGACTCTGTCTCAAAAAAAAAAAATTGATCAATTTAAAGAAGAAAATAAGTAAATAGTAATTATAAATGACACAAGGTTGTGGTAAAATTGGTGAAGAGAGGACACAGATGCCTAACATCTGATAACGTGGGATGAAACTGGGTTATTTCCTCCTTAGGATCCGGGAGTGTGACTCACATGGCTCTGGTCCCCCCAGGACCTAGCATGGTGCCGGGTGCAAAATCTTGCTCTCTGCCCGTTTTCCCCAGAAGAGCTCTGTGAGTTAGAGTCAACCCATTTCATGGCTGGGAAAGCTGAGGCCCCATAAGACTTGCCCAGGGCCAGAAAGGAGGCGGCCAGGGGGTTCCATCATTTCCCAATCTCTTACCACAAACTTGGAGATCTTTCTCTCCTCGATGCGGGCCGACGCGATCTCGAAGAGCAGCTTGACGCGCTTCCAGCGGCACTTCTCGTTCTGCCAGTAGTCCTGCAGCTCTCGCGTGGTCATGCTGGAGTTGGAGCTCGGGCCGCCGTGGGCACCTGGAGGGACAACACGCTTGGGGACCTGCGCCAGGGCAGCGCACTGCAGAGGCGAGGGCTTGGGGGACGGCTGGGTCTGCCGGGTGGAACTCAGAATCCAGAAGGGCGGTGGGGAGCACCTCGCCACCCTGCCTGGGGCGTGCGCCAGACCTCTGTGCCCAGCCCGGCTGAATCCACCCGCCACTGACACCTCGAGCAGCCCATCAGCCCCAGTGGCGTGTCGGCTGCGAGGGGCGGCGTGGGCCTGCTGGGTTGTGCGCTCTGGCCTGCGGATTGGCCATGCGAGACCCCGTGCCCCTGACAGGCAGGGACCGTGGCCGGCTCCTCTTGCGCTCCCTGCAGCACCGGCTCCCTGGCTGTCGCCCGGACTGTAGGAGCAGGGAGTGGCGGAGGGAGCCCTGCGGGTGCTGCGTTCCAGCCGCAGCCGGGCTGGCCCCTCCAAGGCTCTCATCTCATTTCCCGTGAGCTGTAATTCTTCCCGAACATGCCACTCCTCTGCCTTGAATCTAAACCTCCTGGAAAACCACAGCATTTCTTAAACCTCACTTAAGCCCTGCACCGTCTGAGAAGTTTGAGAAAGCTTCGAATCCTTCCCTACCCAAACCGCACAACCACTTCCGCACTTCGTGGCAGGGTTTGCATCCCCGGAGCTCTCTCTGGGGTGTCCTCCAAGACACCCCCACGTCACCTGCCCCTCGGCATTAGAGTAGGGGCTCCTGCCCCCTCCTGCAGCCTTTCTCGTGGCTTGTCTGGTTGTTTTTCTCTGATCTGCTTCCCTGCCAAACTGGAGGCCCAGAGCAGTGTTTGATTAGTCCTGTTTCCCCGTGCCCTGCGCAGGGCCAGGAACCGGGCAGCCTTCCACAGCACATCCTGGGTGACTGTAAGAAGAGACTTTCTCCAGGAGATGGCGCTACAGCAGATGCCATCTGGCCCAGTGCCGGCCCTGCGCTCCCGCGCTCACTGTTCCGGGCATGCCGCTGGCTTCCTACTGCAAGCAGCTATGCCCCTCACCCTGAGGGCGTCTTCAGGCCAGAGTGGCACGCTCAGGAGCGTCCCTCAGCAGGTGCAGGACAGGACCGGAGGGCGGCAGCCTGGCTTCCTCCCCCCGAGGACAGGACACCTCCGAGAGGTGTTCCCTGCAGCCGCCCAGAGGCCCCGCTGCAACTGCGCCTCAGTTACCTATAGCGGTCACCTGTTCTCGGACCCTGCGCTGGCGCCTGCCCTTCCCTTCCCCACTCTCACTTCCCGTCATGCCCCTAGGGTCCTCTCCCAGGTAAGCACCGTGCACCAAATCCTTCTTCGGGGTGACAGAAGAAGACAAACGAACCTCCCAGCTCTCTCGTTGCTGCGATTACAGTGACCCATATCGTACTGCAAATGTCTTCAAACCTCTTTCCCCCGACCGAGCCTCAGGCCCCAAGCCTACCTAGGTGTCCTTCAGGTCTTGGACGTGGGAGGTCCGGGCCAGTGGCTGCCGCATCCTGCTCGGCCCTTGCCGTGCCCTGGGCTGTGGGTCCTGTCCAGCCGGGGTCCTGTCCAGGCTGCTCCGGGCTCGCCATGCTGCGAGGCTGCCGGGGCGCAGGAGAGGACAGTGAGTGCCGCCCGTGCTGGGCTTCCTGGTGGGCCCGGGGCGCCCGGGACCCCTGTCACAGCCCACTGCTGAGACGCCACTTCCCGCCCGGATGCCCGGCTGACGGCCAGACCCCAGACCGGCTCTGCCTCTCTGCGGTACAGGTCACTCCAAGGCAGAGCAGAGCCTTCCCTTGGCGTGACGACCTTATGGTACTGAGTTGCTCTGCATGTTAAATGAGGTGATTCGAGCAAAAGCAACGGCTCTCGTGATCGCTTGGGAGAAAGACACTGGCTTATCCAGGTAGGTGTCCCGAGAATTGTAAGTGGCAGATGTGAATGACATCTCAGCGTTCAGAGCGGCAGACACTGGCGTGTCTCTTCCATCTGTCTGCAGAGCTCACCAATGGCTCCCCCTAGGTTCTGCACGGCCCCTAACGGACACCCACAGAAATCTGTCCTCACCAGCAAGTGGCAGGAGAGGACACTGAGGTCAGCCCGAGGTCACGCAGCTGGAGAGTTCAGCGCACAGAGCTGGATCTGTGCTGTCTGCGTGCCCTGCACTTGACACGCACGCCTCCCTCCCTCCGGCCACTGTCCTCCACGGGACAGTTTTCACCTCCCTTTATGATGAGGGAGCTGGGACGCGGCGTTGCCTGAGGCCAGGAGCCAGTGAGTGCGGGGCGGGACACGCCGGGCTGGCTGACTTCAGAACCCTCTGCCCCACCCAGGGGCACGGGGCGGAAAGCAGGCCGGCGGGGCCGATTCATGTCGTCACTCTGTTTGTGACCCGGGAACGTGAACGAGATGGCCTGGTAGCAGGCAAGGTATTTCACTTCCCTGTGCCTCAGTTTCCCGTGAGTCGGGCATAAAGATAGGCCACGCTGGCAAGGCTGGTGTGAGGATGAAACCGGGCAGACTGCGCAAAGCGTTAGCGTGAGCCTGCACAGCCAGGGCCTGTGCCGCAGGCCTTGTTACCAGCGTCTGCAGTGCTAGCCGCTTTGAGAGATAGCTGTGAAGGAAATGACTCTAAATTAAGGGAGAAGTTGGAATAGAATTACAGATGTTTGAGACAAAATACAAAAAGGGACAGTTAAAGCATTAGCTGAAACGCAGTGAGTAGCTGGTGCCACCTGGGCACAGAGGTTCAAAATAAGGAGGGTGCCAGTGACTTCGTCCCTTTTCTTATGGGACCGGAGGGGGCTGCCAGCGGCCCACAGAGGCAGAGCTGGGACTTGAACTCTGGTCTGTTGGGTTCCAGGCCCTGGGTCTGAGCCCCTGCGCTGACTGTGGCCTAGAGAGGGGGAGCCACTGCTGCCCCATCGTCCCCTGCTGTGACCCCGAGCGTGGCCTGAGCCTGTCCTCTGCTCTGGGGGGCGGCCTGGACTGGGCAGGGGTGAGGCCGCTGCGGCCAGGACCCCCCACTGCTGGGAGGTGCTCGCGGCGCCAGGTGCCAGGAGCCCGGGATTCTCCAGGGGGCTCCGTGGAGCTGTCTAGTGGGCAGCCCTCTGGGACCCTCAGTCCAACTTTGCCTTCTACAGATGGGCAAACTGAGGCACAGAGCCGGCCATGGCCAGCCCAGGGCTGCACGTGCTTGAGCACACTACAGCTTGCAAACTTCACCCCCTCAGGGGGCGGGAGACATTGCCTTCCAGCCTCAGTTTCCCCACCTGAAAAAAGTGGCCACGAGCCCTGTCCTGATGGTAAGATGGGTGGCAGGATGTGTTTGCTATGTCTCGGGAGGTACCCAAGCAAGATGGGGGGCATGTGCTGTCTTACCTTGCAGACTCTTGGTGGCGGGCGTTCTCGGGGGCCCGGTGTTTCCCGTGGGCACTCCTGTGCACTCGCCTCAGTCAGCCCCTCTGTAAAATGGGTGACGGTGAGTGCCTTTGGGCTCAATGGCCCCAGCCCTTCCAGCACGGCTTTCGTGACCAGGCAGCCGCTCCCAGGTCAAAAGTGGGCGCTGTTTTCCCAGAGACCCTGTAACACCCAGACATCATGCCTCGCCTGCACACTCTGGTGAAGTCCTGGCAAATCTCATCATGAAAACAGGGCTTAGAATAAAAATTCAAGTCAGCAGCCAAAGCCAGCTCCCTTACATTTTCTCTTAGGGGTCTAATTGGGAGTCACCCATTTAAAAAAGAGTGGGAAGGAAAGAGTCTTGCATTGGCACATCCATGAGGTTGTGGGCAATTTCCTGTATCTTTTCAGGCCACAGTTTCCTGATCTGTGAAATGGGAAGGCAATCCCATCTCTCTAAAAGCTCTTTGGGGAGAGCCACGTAGGGGCTCCTGTGGGGCCTCCCTCTCCCCCCACACCCTCTATAGCAAAGATTTCTAGACGTTACAACAAAATACTGCAAGTGCTGGTGCTGCTGGCCTGGGGGCTTGTACCCGGCCCAGAGGACAGAGCGGCGTCCCAGCCCCTCCACCCTCAGCCCTGTGCCTGGACGGGCATCCTCCCCTCCTTGTCTCCGGGTGCCGCGGCCCTCCCTCGCTCTAAGGGCTGCCTGCCACGTCCAGCCCTCCTTCTGAGGGGCACACAGGGCCACCTGCGGAGCCCCCGCTACCTTTCTGAGCGGGTTGCAGGGGACTTTTACGGGAAGAGCCTCCTCTCCAGCAGAGTGAAATAAAGCACTAACCCCCCCCCCCGGAAGAGCCTCCTCTCCAGCAGAGTGAAATAAAGCACTAACCCCCCCCCCCCGCAGGCAGGATCCCGGACACTGGCTGCTCTGGAGGGGAAGGCTGGACTCTCACCTAGCTGCCTTGCCACGGCGGGCGCTCCCCACCTGGGCGGCGTCAGGGGCCCCTGGCGAGGTGGGATGGGGGGAAGGCTGGACACTCACCTAGCTGCCTTGCCACGGCGGGCGCTCCCCACCTGGGCGGCGTCAGGGGCCCCTGGCGAGGTGGGATGGGGGTGCCGGGGCTTGTTCAAAAGCAGATTTCCTGGCTCCCAACACAAGAGAGTCCCCAAAGACAGGCTGGGGGGTGGGTGGCCCCTGGACTCTGCATTTTCCGCATGTTTCCTAGGGCTATGCTGGGGCAGGGGCCCCTGCAACCACTTTTTGAGAAACACAAGCGTGGTGACTTATTCTTCAGGCCCAGGGAAAATCAGAGCGGTAATCCCCACCAGAGCAGTGTACAAGTTCTGGCGTCCCAAAAGGAGTCGAGGCGATGGAGGGCCTGGGCGCTGTCCCCTGCGCTGCCCCAGTGTGCCAGCGAGAGCCCCACACAGAGCTGTCTCCAGCCGGCCGTCCCACCCTGCCCCCCGCAGGTACCCAGGGCGGTCGCCCAGGCGACGACTCAGGCCACAGCAGGCAGCGGCCGGCTGAGCTTGGGATCAAACACTGACCTGAGGTCTCTGGGCCCCGCGTGAGTCCGGGGGTCCGGGCAGGTGTCACATCGCCCTTCCGGATCTCTGCTCCAAGCTCTGGCGACCAGCCCAGTGGCTGCCGCTTGCGAAGTTCCCTGTTTGAAAACAGGAAATAGGCTGTGTGACCTGCGGCCGAGTGCCCCAGCCCATTGGCTGGCGAAACATGGCATAGAGAGTGAAACTGACAGCTTGCCGTCCCCGCGTCTCCTTCCGCCGCCCCACAGGGCAGGACGCGGCAGGGCGGGCGGCACTGAGAGGCCTACCCCGGCCTCGCTCTCCCGTCAGCCTGCGGTAACCCGGCTGTCCTTCCAGAGTCCCCTTCAGCCTCCGGCGTTCAGTCGTTAGCTCCCAAAGCCTTTTAACATTCTATGAGCCGGGCATGGTGGGAGCCATTATGCCCTAGTAACAGACGGGGAAACTGAGGCTTGGACCATAGAGCTGCTGGGACACAGAGCCAGTGGCTGGCACGGAAGGGTGGTGCGGTAGAATCACAGTTGCATCCGGGCATTTTCTCTGGATAAAGCTGCAACCAGCACCACCAACGGAAAGTACCAGGGAAGCTGGAACCCTGGGTGGTGGCGTGATTCACGGCCACCAGTACCTGTGGCCTTGAGGACAAGGAGCTGGAACAGGACAAAAAATGGAGCCTCACTGGCTCCCCCAGAAGTTTACTGTGTGCCTCGTCCCAGCCATGACTCCCTTGCTCCTGTCAGAGGCAGTCGCAGTCCTGGTGGGGGTTACTGCTTTCACCCTGCTCACAAACTTGCTGCCAGGGAATCAGTCCCTAGACAACTGAGTTTCATTTTACTTATTTTTGAATTTTATATAAATGGAGCCATCACGCTGTGTGTACTCTCCAGTGTCTGCTTCTTTCTTTCAACATTTACGTGTGTAAGATTCACCGATGTTTTCCTTTTGTGTGTGTGTGTAGCTGGAGTGTGTTCCCCTTGTTGTGTTGCTACTTTATTTGAATCCATCGCTGTTTTTGCTTTGGCTGTTGCTGCACATTTGGGTTGTTCCTGGGACGGGGTCATGGTCAGCGCCGCTGGTCATATGCTTACACGTCGGCCCAAGTCCGTGTGTTTCCCTGAGGGAAGACTCTGGGTCTTGGAGTACGGGTGGCTTCCACTGTGCTAGACTACGCCAAACTGCCTCCAGGGTGACCGCGCATCTTGCACTCCCGCAGCGCCGTACGGGAGTTCCAGGTGCTGCAGCTTCTCTCCTGCATTTGATGTGCTCAGCACGTTTCCTGTGGCCACTCTAATGTGTGTAGTGGTGGCTCATCATGGTTTTAAGTCGCATTTCCCTAGTGACTAATGAAGTTGAGCATCTTTCCATGGGCGTGTTTGCCATCCTTATACCATCTTCAGTGAGGTGGCTGTTCAAGTGCACCGCTCATTTTTAACTGGATTGCTTTTCAGTGGTCTGTAGGTGTTGTTTATGTGTTCATTTGGATGTGTGTGCTTTGTAGCAGCCTTCTCCACCCTGTGGCTTGCACTGGCTCTCTCTTAATGGGGTCTCGCAATGAATATAGTGGCCAAGTTTTATTTTACATTATTTTTATTTTATTTTATTTTGAGACTGAATCTTGCTCTGTCACCCAGGCTAGAGTGCCATGGTATTAGCCTCGCTCACAGCAAGCTCAAACTCCTGAGCTCAAGCGATCCTCCTGCCTCGGCTTCCCAGAGTACTGTTACTACAGGCATGTGCCACCACGCCCAGCCAACAAGTGGCCAGCGTTAAAGTGTTCAACCACATCAATCTTTTCTCTCATAGCCAGTTCCATACTTTGAGGTCCTGGAGATTTCTCTCGTATTTGCTTCTGCAACAACCTCACAGGCCACTGTGAGGCTTCAGATGAATTAAGATGTGCACTTAGCACAACGCTGTCTGATGCTGTACGAGCGCTGGCAATCCTTGCTATTCTAAAACCCTCACAGTTTGCCTTTCCCAATGGGGGCTCTGTAATACACCTGACTATCCACTGGCTTTGTTTGTTGAATTAGCCATCCAGTCCCACTTCTCTGAGCTGCCACTGCTGTCATTAGGAGCACCCACACCTGCAATGGCCAGTTTCTGGGCAGAGCTACGAGGACTGCCATGAGCGGCGTGCCTCTGGCCTGCTAGCTGTTGCAGGGGCCGCCGCGCGTCCATCTCCGCCGGGCACTGCCGGGCAGTGCTCCCTTGCAGAGCGAAGCTGCAACGCCCGGTCCCCTCCCTCTCTGGGCATGTCCCGCAGCTTTCTAGTCTTCCTGCCTGCTCTGTGAGACCCAGGGCACACTCTGAGTCCTTCTCTGCAGCCCTCCGAGCCTCTCACCCGGAAGAAGGCAAGCGCGGGGAGGAGCGTGTGGTAGCCACAGCTTCCTCTTCTGGGCACAGGAGATGTTCTTCGGAAAGCCCCCGATGGAGGGCGTCTGCTCTGCGTAGGTAGGACCCCGCTGAACCAGAGTGGCCGGGGGCTGCCACGCTTGGCCACCTGCCGGGTGGCGGCTCTTCTCTGCAGCACAGAGCTCTGCGTGGCAGAGGCGAGCAGACAAGGACAGCGCTTTGGGGCAGCTGCAACAGCAGACAGCGGGGCGTGCACAGCAAGCATTTGCTTCTCACAGTTCTGAAGTGAGAAGTCCAAGACCAACGTGCCGACAGTTCAGGGTCAGGGCTGCAGGTGCAGCCAGGGCCCTACTCGCGGTTTGCAGATGGCCGTGTCTTTTCTGACCTCGCTTGGCACGCTCCCAGCACCACGCACCGCACACCAGCCACCCCAGACTGCCTCCTGTCGGCCACCCCAGACTGCCTCCTGTCGGCCACCCCAGACTGCCTCCTGTCGCCTAAGCATGCCTTCGCCTTTGCAGTTCCCTCAGCAGGGAAACCCTGCCTTGGTTCCTGCCACGACTGGCTTTCTCGCCCTTACGCGGTGGCTTCGTCATCGCTCCTCCACGCAGCCTTCTCCCGAGCCCCTGGCAAGGTCTGTCATTGCTTGCCTTATTTGTTTGATAGTTTATTATAAACCCCACGAGGGCAGGGACTTTGTGCCAGCATTCTGTCCCCAGCAGCCAGCACAGTGCCTGCGACATAGTGGGAGCTCAGTGATTGTCCTGTGAATGCTGAGAAGTGGCCATCAGGCCGTGGCCCTGGCTCAGCCCGACTCCCTGTGGGATCCCCGCCGCCACCACCCCTCCCTGAATCTCGGCTTTCCTGCTCACAGCGTGAAATTAGGTTAAGTCCTCCTGGCACCGAAGCATCCGCCCGAGCGAAAGCGAGTGCTAGAAAGGACTGCTCAGCACCGCTCTGGACGGCTGATGCGGCTGCGGCCAAGCCCCTGATATGCCCTTCTTTGAGGAACTCAACAAGAATTCAGCGATCGCAGCTGGGCCTCCCGGCTCTGGCAGCAAACCGGCCAGGTGCTTTCACAGGTGACGCGGAACCTGGTCACGTCAGTCTTGGTTTTCCACAGCTGGATGCACGTGCACAGCCCGTCTTCAAATGTCAAAGGCTCTTAACATTGCAGGATTTAGGAATCGGGCCCCAGACGGAGTGCTGCGTTGCAGGGACGCCACTGTGGTTGTGTTGGGACGTAGCAGCGTGGGGCTGGGTGTGGGCCCTGTTTCTACACAGCGGGCGGGGAGGGGTCCGGTCACAGTCACCCAGCCTCCCAACTCAACTGACCCAACAGTCCTCGACTGTGCTGTCGAGCTTCTGGCTTGTGTAAGGGTTCGTGGTGAGACGGGAGGAAACCTAGCTCCTTATCAGGAGAGCACACCCCGTTCAGGACGTGTGCTTGGGCAAAGGAGTGGGGGTGGTTTGGGTGGGGTTTAGGGCCATTGTATGTCATTTTATGGCTCGTGCCCTGCTCAGAGCCCCTGACGACGAGAGGAATCGTTGAGATCCAGCCCTGCCTCTGCCTCTCCAGGCTGGCCCCTGTGTCCACGCGGGTGGAGGGTGCCTTTCTCCCACGTGGAGGGAAGCGCGACGTGGTCTGCTGTGACATAGTTAACGTGGAGGGTTGAGGGACCGATTTGCAAGGGCAGTGGGTTCAGCTGATAGAACATTTTCTTTCACTCAAGTGGGGTTTGCAAGCTTGGGGCTAGAAGGCAAGAGTTTGGGAAGGTAGAGGTGTTTCTAGAAGTTCCTCAAAGCTTCTAGACGGAAGCATGGGGGAAGGGAAGAAGCGAGACACAGCAGGGGTCTGTGCCACAGGCCTTGGCCCGAGGATGGAGTTTGTTTGATCTTCAACAAAACCTGCCCACCTCACTGAAGGGCTTGGAGTGGGCTTAGGGGAGGTGGTGGGGGGGGGGCAAATGCCAGGCCTGGTCTCCAGGTGGGGACAGGGTGACAGCGGAGGCCGCCCGAGGGTCCCCAGGTGCGAGGCTGCTCTGTGGGGAGCTGCCCGCTCCAGCCTGCCCTTCTCTTAAGCGTCGCCCCTCTTTTGATAAGTCACTCGACAAACAAACTTGGGCCGGGCGCTGGGCCAGAGGCTGAGGCCGAGCAGCCTGGAAGGGATGCCTGGGCCCTCAAGGACTCTCGGTCTGAGGGGAACAGAGGACACACGGAACCTGGGCTGACACGGAAGGCCACCTGGCTGATGGTGGCACACGGGAGCCCGCAGGCTGCTCCTTGGCAGCGGGGAGGACTGGGCGAGCCCAGGGCCAGTGGGGTCTGGAGGCTTCCTTGGGAAGGAGGCACCGAAGGATGGATAAGGCCCCAATCGAAGGGGGAAGGACGTGGACTTGACCCACAGCTCCACTGTTTAGTAGCTGGGCCACCCTTGGAAGTTTATTGACCCAGTAGAACCTCGGATTCCGCATCTCGAGGGTGGTGACGACGAGCAGTGCCTATTGTGCAGGGGCGCTGCGGGGGTCACGGGGCAGAGCACAGCGCCTGGGCCTGGCAGGCGCCAGTAACCTGCGCGTTCTGTAGAGCGCTTAGTGTCCGCTCTGTGCCAGGCCCTCATGTGCTCCTCATGACAAGATCTGAGCGGACTGTCAGCCCCTCTTAACTGTTAGGGACACGAGGCCAGGAGAGGTTAAATAACCGGCCAAGAGCATCTGGCTGCTTAGTGGCAGACCGGCTGCACGCGCAGGCTTGTGGGGTCGGCAGCCCTGCTGGCTCTGCCTGTAGCCCCGTGGGGCGCCTGCACGAGCTGGAGGCAGCTGGCGCAGCGGGGGTGCGCGAGGTGCTGGGAGAGCCGTTCAGCCTTCGTTCCTGTGGGCCTGCTCGCGGAGGGTCTGGTGGCGCTGGGCGGGCCCCTACCATCCCTGGCCAGCTGGAGACGGTCCTCACTCCTGGGCGACGGCCCTCAGGCGCAGGCAGGCTCTCCACCTGGGGGAAGTTTAAACACCACAACCCAGAGCTCTCCCTTCCCGGGCCTGGGGCTGCAGGAGGCTTTGTCCCTTTGTCCCTTCTGAGCACTGCCTGGTTGGTGCCCAGGTCAGAGCACATGGGGACAGAAACATCACCAGGGCACGCCAATTGCCTGTCCCCAGCATGGGGCCCTGCACACAGAAAGTTTTTAAACTGATGTGTCTTAACTCATTGAAAATTTAAAATAATTATTATACAAGTAATATATGCTTATCAGGAAATACAGGTTAATGAAAAAGAGTTTTACAAATCCACTTACAATCCAACCACAAATTTTGAAGGATAGTTTTTTAGATGTTTCAATGTGCATATTCATAGATTTTTATTATGGAATAGAAACTACCACACAAAACATTTTTGCAACCCAACTCTCTTTTACTAAAATATAATTCAGATACCATAAAACCCACCCTTTTAAGGTGTACA